CCCCCCCTCTCTATCACCATGCATGTGCTCTTCTATATGGCATACATGTACTTTGGTGCTCTCAGTTGTGCGTTTAAAGTATTAAGTATATCCAGGGTTTGCTACTCACACAGAGTGGATTGTCTGTGCATGGTTGGAGTGTGAGGATGTTGCGTTATGATGCTACCTTCCTAAGTGTTTTGGCTGTCACTCATTGGCTGGTGCATGGTGTCTGCTGACTGGCTGTCTACGTCAGGCCACATGACTGTTGCTCTGCATGATGTCAAAGGCTTTCTGTTCCCCCATTTGCTGTGAAGAAGATTACGCATGAACACAGGCACATGGCATCTCCCTCTTTCTCAAGCCTTCTCTCGCTCTCTCTCTATCATAATGTACACACACACACACACACACACACACACACACACACACACACACACACACACACACACACACACACACAGGCTGCTGATGTTGTAATCTAGTGTAATCGGCAGAGTGATTAAAAGGACTGAGCGGGTCATAAGGATCGATTCAGCAGAAGCCCAGACTTTTGATTACCAAGGCAGGACACTGTAGTGGGCTGGTGAGAGAAATGCAGAAAAATACATTGAGACATGTAATTTAGGAGGAGAGAGAAAAGCGTGAAGAATAGAGATAGATGGACAGACGGATAGATAGATAGATAGATAGATAGATAGATAGATAGATAGATAGATAGATAGATGGATACAATTTAAGTTTTGAAAATACACATTTCCTATAACAGTTTCTTTATCATCATACCTTTTCTGTTTCACAAGTTCTTTGTAATGTGTTCCCTTTAGGAACCACAGACAACTGTGATTCACAACCCTGTGGATGGAAATAAGGTATTGCAATAAAACCACCTCTTTGTTAGATGCATTTATTGATATGAAATACGTTTTCTCCTGTACCTTTAGATATTTTCCACTGCCAATTAGTAACAAAAGTGCACCAACCGTTAAACGGCACGTCTTGTACTCTTATACAATCAACTGTTAGTAAATGATTTCCCCACATTGCTTGTTATAGTAAAGTAAAATCTGACTTTGCAAAAATATGAATTATATTTCAACACTTATTTAAATATCAAATATGAGATGTACTACGTCATCATTGATACATACATTGCATATTCAAATTCTGTATGTTGTCATTCTTTGGCAGGAGTCCATTGAGAGTGCCAACACCACCATTGAGGATGATGATGTAAAAGGTAAGGAAAGCCTGATTTTGATTTACTTACTTACTCTCAGTTCTGTTTTGCAAAGCAGTTAAAATGCACAGCAAGAACAACATTTGTCATCCCTTTGGCCCTGTCTGGCCTTCATCTCCTCTCACTAAATGCAGTCCGCCCTGTTGGTTTTCTATCCAGCACTCCCTCGCATCAGCTTTTTGAGTTTGAACTCCCTATGTTTTCACTAATGTTTCTGTTTTCTACTTTTTTTTCCCCTTCTTATGTTTTGTTATTCTTTTTTAAATAATTCCTATCGTGCCATACATGAATGCCCTTTATTTACATCCCCATCGTAACAAACACCCAACATCCATTCACACACACATCCATGCCTCCACTGATAGCCCTTCGTCTGGGCAGCTTAGTGGGCAGTATCTTGAGCCGCTCCTCACAGATGTCTGACTCAAGACTGACTCCGACCTCCTCAGTTCAGAGTAAGTCTCTCGGCAGTGAGGGGGAGATGCCCTGTATTGTTCCCCTCTTGTTACTTTGTCATCCTTGAATAAACAATTCTCTCTCTATAAATCACTCAAATGCTCTGTTCCTGATGTTCAAATAATGTCCCTAGGTTCAGATAAAATGGTGTTTGATACAGTTCATGGTTAGAGATTGTATCCTATACTATCCCTTCTCCAGTGAAATAGAACCTCTGTTTTTGACCCATAAATGTCTGCTCCCTCCATTCCAGTTATTATTCTGTTTTTAAATGGAAAAAGATACTCTCCTGCTGTATATTTGAGTTTTGAAGACACAGATGGTCTTCCCACTCCTCTATTTGCCCTCTGTTCTGACTTACCCAAATATCACATAGTAAAAAGCTGACTCATACGCACACACTCATACTACACATAATATTGAAGCTAATGGAAGAGAAATACTGATTTATTTATTTCTTTACTATTTAACATGTTTTTTTGTTGCACAAATTAAGTATTTTTTTAATATCCCCCAGCCTGCACCAATAACAATAAAGGTAACTGTCAACTTTGCTTAGTTGAAACTGCTTTTCTTGCAAAGAATTGCATCTGAGCATTGGTTTGTCTATGTTGATTTCAAGCTTTGTTGTTTGAAAGGAATCGTGTCATCTTCCATTGTTCTGCCTGATATCACTATTAGTCATGGGAGGCTTCCTGTTGTTATGTTACAAGATATGAAAAAGCTAACATGTGTGCAGAATTTTTCTGAGTGCCACCCATTTCTAATAACTTTGAACCCCTGCTAATTCGTAGACTATTCCCCATTTGAACCTGATTTGATGTCAGATTTCTGCACTCAGACCAACATTTGCCTGAAATACAGTAACAAATAGCATTTTTAACATCAGTTTGTGTAGTAAATAATTGTCTGGGATCTTTTGTTGTAGCTCGCAAACAGGAAATCATCAAAGTTACTGAGCAGTTGATTGAGTCTATCAACAATGGAGACTTTGATTCCTATGCGTAAGTTTCTTTCTTTCTGCATTTGTACATTTGTATCATCTAAATATGATATGTACTGTCTTGTTTACCAACCGTTGCTTATTCTTTATCCTTTTTGGTGTAACAGGAAGATTTGTGATCCTGGTCTAACTTCCTTTGAGCCGGAGGCCCTGGGCAACCTGGTGGAAGGACATGACTTCCATCGCTTTTACTTTGAGAATGGTAAAACAAAATGATCATGACTTTTGCAAAGAACTGATTATGGCAGCATCATCATTGCTTCTACCTGCCAAAGAACTAACTATTGCAGTAGACAGTTGCATGTGGCCTGAAGCTGTTCAGAGTAGGGGAAATGTATCATAAGCGTGGGTCGGGGGTTGCTCCAAATATTGCAAGTAGCCAGCTGGATCCCAACCCAATCTAGGAACTCAGAAATCAAGTCTGGCCTTTGCAAGGATGAACGATTGCGTATTATTAATTCCCATTAATTCGATTTTTTAACTGCGAAAAAATGTGCATTAGATTTTGTGTAACTGCAGGCAGACATCAACAACTAACTACAATAGCTCACACACTACAATAACTGTTATCTCACAGGAGACATATCTATAAATGCATGCAGCATTATGATCCAAGAAGAAAATCCTGTGAAGGCAGGTCCGAAGCATAATCAGTTGTTAGGAAGCAGGTGTGCAGGGAAAATGCTGCGATGACCAAGAAGGCAGTGGTGGGGTAACAATAATATATAATGCTATAAATGTAATTAAATTCAACATTTTGAAAATAAGGAAGACCCCCGACACAGTAAAAGGAATTAAGCGTTGATAGATAGAGAGTAGTGAATTATTGGGTATGAGCTAAATAGTTTTTCTATATCAACATTTAGTCCAATCAGTTAAAAGTTCATGTTTGCTGGTGCACTACATACAGTAGGCATGTCTGTGGTTATGGAGCAACCTTGGAGCAAAACATGAATAATGACTGCTATAAATGGCAAAATGTCCTTAGTCAGGATAAAAATAGTTCAGATAAACCAGATATGTCCTAGAAACCTCAATCACTTGGCGAGCCTGTGCTTATCCACTATCCAACGTCAACATTTGGGGACTTTTTGTTCCTCTTATTTAAATACCAGTTAGTAATCTAGGTAGGGTCAGTACTCCAAAACCCGAGTGACATGATGATAACCATTTAATATGTTACTCAGTGACACTTCTTATTAGAATGAGACCCTGTGTCTCAATGGGGTTACCTGCATAAATAAAGTATAATTGCATTTGTATAAATGTTTCTCTCTTCTAGCTCTGTCCAAAGGGAACAAGCCAGTGCACACCATCCTCCTGAACCCACACGTGCACCTAATTGGGGAAAATGCAGCGTGCATTGCCTATATTCGACTGACCCAGTACATGGATACCAACGGCATGCCCCGCACCATGCAGTCTGAAGAAACCCGTGTGTGGCACCGTCGTGACGGCAAGTGGCAGAACATCCACTTTCATCGTTCGGGCTCGCCCAGCATCCCCTCCCAGTAAGAGACAGTAAGAAACCGACAGCAGAAACTTTGTAACAAAGACATTGTTACAAAGTACAAAAACATTTTTTTGTTTATTGTTGATCTCCAGTGGTTTAAATTATCACCTTACTACAGTGTTGCAGGTATGCTCCCCCTACACCCAACCTTATCTATCAATTTGTGGTCAAATCAGGTGCAACAGTCACTTTTTAACATAGAGAGCAGTGACATTTTTCTGCCTAAAGTTTAAAGTAGCTAACTAAAATGGAATTGACAGGTTTCAAGCTATCCATTTATCAAGGCACACAATGCAGAATTTTAAATGATGCAGACTTAACACTCAAATGTTGTTGTGATTTCTAAAGTCTTCTTATTTTGTTAGCTAGCTAACTAATGATAGAGTTAGCTAACACTAGAACTTGTGACTTGGTCTGAGACTGAAAACCTATTTTATTGAAGTTTTCCAGCTGAATCATGTAAATTGAGAATGAGAAAAATAGATAGCACACTCCATACTACAGAGTAAGTACACTGCTTCAACATGTAAAGAATCCAAAGCTTGACAGACCAGTTTTGCTTTGTTACTTAGCTATTATGAAAAGCTTCTTTTTCGCTGGCTGATTTTTAGAAACTGTCAGTTGAAAAGGTGGGGCATTTAAGGGCATTTTTCTTGACCAACATATGCCGAAAAAGGCACAGCTGTAACCCCATTTATTTATTCACTTCTTTAAACCAAATTCCCCCTCTGTCCATGAAAACACAAGGCTCAGTTATTCTGAAACTTAACTGAGGTCCCCAAACTTGAACAAGGACAAAAATGAATGAATCATAAAAGTGTGCAACAAGCAAAGTCTGTAAACCCCTACATATTCCCGAAAAGAAGTATATACAAAGCCCTTACACAACAGGTGTGTGAGGGCTTTTCCCAGTAAGTAATACCAGTAAGCCAGCATGCTCAATGGTATTATTCCCTGGCCTTTTGATGTTATTATTCAATGCTGTCCCTCCTTCTTTCCTGCTTTTTATATCTCCCAATTTCGGCTCTGAATTGTGGTCGAATTATATTCTGTAGGAAACTAAATGCTGTATACATTGACATGTATGATCTCTCTCTCTTTCTATGTTTTGCAGTTAATGGAATATCAACATTTGGTCCAAGAAGAAAATCCCATCAGCAAATCTAGTAGGGCAGTCAACTAGCCAACCCATGACTGCTCTCTGACCTTTGACCCTTCTATGAGGACATGACATCGCAGGATACAAGTATTAATACATTTTACTGTTATGGCATTTTATTAATGGACATCAGTCGAAAACCACCACCGGGTGGCTGCACACCGTATTTGAACATTATGAAAAAGAGCATATTGACATTCTTTTTGTTTGTTTTTTAAGATGTTTTGGTATGCATTTTAAATATAAATTAGAGATGTTTAAAAATCTACTACTGTAACCTCTCCCAAAAATTAGTTCGGTATTTTTATGTGTATTTATGTGTGTGCAATACAGAAACATTTGGAAGATCAGAATGTTAAAATTGAGCTTGCTTTAGTTCTGGTGATGTATATACATTGTGATTGTTGATAAAAACAAACATTGAAATTGCTATTCTTGCTATCAGAGGAATTAAGAGTTTACGTAAAATCCAGTTTATTATTTATGTTTGCTATGAGCTAAGTCATAATGTTTGAATTGTCCAATTTCAATCTATAATACTAATTTAAATGTAAAGAAAAGCAGAGCAGCTTACACTTTGCATCGAGATATGTTTGCCTTTATATCAGTGAAATAAGAAATAAGAGAATGTAGCATATATGTAATATATGAAAATTCAAGACTATTGTGTAGTGCATGGGGGGGAATATTGTAAGTAAGATCATATAAAACTATAATATCTTCTGTTTGATTTGTGAATCACTGACTTGTTTGTTTGCATATGTTAATGTTGTGCATCAGTCCTGTCCCAAATGTTTCTTATGTCCTCCAGTATCATGGAACTGTTGTAAAAACAAAAACACAGTAATGGTTAAAATCCAGCGTAAATATCAAACCTCATATCTAAAAGGAGGGAAAATGGCACCCCTTACATTTTGTATAAGAATTAGAAAAAAACAAACTCATTTTTCATAATGTTTGTACTTGTATTGTATGACTGTATGTAGGGTTTTTGTTATTTTATTATTGTTATTATTTTAAGCGTGCTACTTTGCCAATTGTAAGGGAGGAGTCAGAGAGGATGAAGATATAGCATAGCACTGTAGTCCACCCTTTGAAAGGGCAAGTGTTAACCTAACGATTGGGCTTATAAATCCAGAGGGCCACAAGAGCATTGGATTAAAGAACGTAGCCGTCAGACCAGAGGAAGGAATCCAATACATGTTGGGATGTCTTCCTTGGCGATCAGTGCTTCTACCAACCAGTGACCTCCTCACCACTGCAGGACAATGCCAGTGTCTTCTTCATCCTTACTATTTGCTCTTTTCAATTGGTCTCTTCTTTTGTAAGGGGAATATATGATAAACATTTCTTTTGACGAAACGTATGATGTCAATGCATTGCACCACTCCTTATATGGTTTGAACCTGTTGCCAGCACGGCAAAGGATGGCTTAACATGTTTAAGAAATAAATAAATCAGCTAAAAGGTGTGATAATGAATGAGTTTTACCTTGTTTTGTGTTGCTGGATGCTCAGTGTTATCCTGGAGGTAGAGGTGGAGGGCATCTGCTGATGTTTGACTTGACGTTAACTCATTGACATATTTCTTTCTGATATTTGCTTAGTCCTCACACACTCGTTGAATATAGATGCATGATAGTTTTATTCAAATTGATTTTTATATATATAAAAAACACATGCACATCTAACAATATCAATCAGTACAAGTTATCAATAGATCCTCTAAACTTTCTATAACCTGAATCATTAAATGCTTTTGGTGGCAATAAGATAGGTGGTGGGACAAAACTGTGGGGGAAACTTCTGTGTAGCAATGCAGTGGGAGTCACCGACTCAAAAGGAGACATGGGGAGAGCTGGAGCTTTGATGTCAAACACTGATGGTTTATTTAGGAGCCTCGGCCGGAGTATTCACAAAACAAGTCAAAGAGTGCCATTTAAATTCTGAAGAACTCTACCCCAGACCCATGTATTTAGCTAGTTCAGAGAGAATAATCAACATTGTGCATAACAAGATAGAATGATAACACCTCTATCAGCTGACGCAAACAGGCAGGAACAGGGAGACAGAACACTGAGAGCACAGCAGCAAAGGTTACAGCTGGGTGTGCTCAGACACACAGTATGAACTGATAAACTGGGTCAAAGTTATGGGCTTTGGAAAAAATGTCCCCAACAAAAACTGGATTGCATTCATGTCCAAAAATGAAAACGTATAGGCATTATTAATGTGTATGAAAATGCACTTCTCGTAAATGGAGAAAACCAGCGCAGGAGATACATCTCTATTAAGAAAAGATGTGTATTTCACCCCTGCCTGTGCATGTCGTACAGTACTTTATACTGTACACAACAAATAACAAGAAACACCGCTTTACATTGGTAGACTTTTATTCTCTATCAGCCATAGACACACTGCAGCCATTTCGTTTTTGTCTATATGCATTTTGATACAGTAATACATGCCCTTATAGATATTTATATATGCATTGTATATTTATATAACTGGCATCATAACAGAAAAGGGATGCTGATTCTTCAAAATTAAAAGCATACCTGTCACAGTGAACTTCCACTAGTTTGCATTTAACATTTTCCAAATCACGACGTAAACAGTGAGAGTGAAATAAATACATTACATGTTGTAGATACATACAGTAGCGATGCTCTGAGCTGTGAATAATGGTATGGTTAAGCTGTCAACCTGCCTCATTGCGCGTGTGCCTTGTGTATCATCATGTTTAATTGATCATCTGCCCAGCCAATATGAAACTATCTCTGTGGCTAACTTTACCATATTTCCTGTACACAAAAAGCATGGAGGTACTCCTTCCTGACATACAGGAGTGCAAATAAGTGTAAAAATAATGTTGTTTATTTTCTTTGCTGACAGAAACTGGCACACACAGACCCATTCACTCAAAAACAGTGGAGCACAACTACCAAAAACTGGTCCAAAACGTGTTCAAAAGATCAACTATTCACATCTAAAATTAAATAGAACCAAAACCAATTGCCATATCAGACAAGTGACTCTAAAACGCCTATGATGATTGTATTCACCAGTGGCAAATAGAGATTAATTAGGCTGGTAATCGAAAATTACTAGTAAACTTAACTCAAGAACAAAAATAAACCAAAACATCTTGAAAAACATAGTTTAAAATAAGCCTATAATAATTCTGACAATACTATCTCTTTAGCTCACACTTAAACAGACACAGAACAACATCACTCACAGATTCATACAGTGTGAGTCAAGACAAGAATTTAAGGAAAAAAAGGCCCAAAAGAATAAATAAAAGCCAAACATAAAAACACAGAAAGATAGAACAATGAGGAAGGGATAGAGATGCAGAAGGGCAGACATTGAATTACAAAGCAGTCAAAGCTAGGATCATAATGACAGATGTTGATTAGTCATGCCTTCTCTACTTTACATTAGTGATTATTAATTACTAGCTACTGATGTCAGTGATGTCTAGATTATAGATAATATATAATTCCCAAAGACAGATTACACATAGCCTGCACAAAACACAGCAGCAGCAGCAGTACATTTCACTGTCGATACAGTCTGGTTTTCTCTGTGTGACATCTGAATCAAAAGAGCAAGAGGCTAGTGAGTGAGTGAGATCATTTTCTAGTAAGGAATATCTGAGAAACTCTGGTTGTGAGAGGCAGTGCAGTGTGAGAGATATTGTCTTTCAGTCCAAGCACCTACTTAAAGAGTATAGTATCAGTATTTTGCAGGTAAAGTGTCTTTACCTTCAGGAGGTTTGTGAGTTAGTGGATGTGAAAGTATTCCTATTTTTTCATTGTGTTTTGTATGTAGTTCTGCCACAGCATCAAGATACAAATGACATGGTAAGTACAACGAATGAGGGAAACTACAGAAGGCTTTCTTTGGTCACCAAAATGCAAAACAACATCAGAACATGAAAGCAAAACAAATTGTGATGAAATGATCATATTCCAGGACTAAAATGGGAAGATAGTGGTAGCTTTGAGGTGCACACTGGGATTGCATGTGGCTTATGCATAGGATTAGGATGGGACTTTAGCATGGGCAGAGCAAGGGTCTTGTGAAGGGTTACACACTCTTCTACTCTTCCTTCTCTTCTTTTTTCTCATGGTTGTCCTCCTCTTCTTTTTTATAGTAGCTGTGAAAGAGTTGGTGGAGATGCTGCTGGAGGTCGTTTGGTTTTGACCCTTTTCTAGGGTTGTTCACTTGCTCTAGAAGGACATGTTTGCGCTGCCCAGCCTCCTTCATGACTGTTCGCCTGTGGGTGCAACCTTTACGCATGCGGGCCCTAGATAGGGAGAACAGAGGGAGAGGAAACAAACAAACAAAGGCAGGTCAGTTTCAACGAAAAATGCAACCCCAAGGCTCTGCAGGAAAGAGATCTTATGGTTAAGAAACAAAACACTCAAAAATTATTTCATGCTTTGTAAATCCAGCATTCAATTGTGATATCATGCAGAGGAAAGCTAGTTTAAAGCTGCAGAATCCTTGTTCTGGATTTTTTATCGGAGAGAAAATAAATGATAGAAGAAAAAGTTTTACAGTATGCTACTAAGTGGTTAATGATAGCAACATAAGCAAACATTAGTCACTATCTGCAGAACTGTTGAACCTACAGCACACAATATGAGTAGTCACACACACATACAATCAAACAGGTGCAGGTTCAGTACTAGACTGTATTGGGTGCACTCCAGCACTCACACACCTCCTGACAACCGTTCCATCTTCTTTGACAGTCTCTCTCTCTACCACATGAGGGAGCTCTGCTCTGCTAAAACCACTTATATAACCTAGTGCCTGGTGGCATGAAATGGAGGGAACATCATTTATTTAATTTGGAATGATTTAATAATGAAAACATAAAAACTGATACTTGGTACTTCTTCATAAGCTTGTGAGATAAAATATGTACAATAATAGTAACAAGGTTATCCACAAACCTGTTTGAAGTCATCCTGGGCAGAGGGTAGGTCAGAGGCCAAAGATGGATCACCGTGGTGTGTCATTTGCCTTTCCCCCTCCACCATCATTGTCTTTTCCTTGCAACTGACCTTACAACCTTCAGCTGCCCCCTGACTTGATGCTGAAAACCCTCCACGTTCTGCAAATGTTACCTAAGAAGAAAGAAGACAGAGCAAGTCTGTTACATTGACTTTTATTTATTACTACTAGTGTAAATGTTGCCCTGTGGTATTTTATCAGATTTTGAGGAACATAATAATGAACACACACATAATTCACATAACACACACCTCTGTTTGATCTCCTTCACTCTTTAGTACAGTCCGCTTTACAACCTTAGAGTATCCATCTCCCTCGGCCATACAGATGGACTCCTGTGGAGCGCCCTCTGATGAGACCTCTTCATGCTCCAAACCATCCGCGGAAACACACTTGCGAATTATTTTACGCGTAACCTTAAGAAGATCACATGTTTAAAAAAACATTAGTTAATCACATTCGAGAAAGTAATGTTGGCTGTCTCTGAATAAAGTGGAGCAACTATTCAACATAGATCCTTGAGAATTTCTGCACACAAATTCACTTTCTTGGCCTTTACTGACCAGTTTAGAAACTGCCATGTGATAATAGATAGAATCGGAGGGATGAAACCCTCTTTAACGGTCACACATGCAGAGCACACAGCACACACAGTGGCCGTTTCTCAATGTCGAGTAAAGCTGCTGCAGAGCCACTATTTCAAGTATACTACGTCATCGAGTGGCGCCGAAGGACTGTTTAAATGCCCAGCATTGAGAAACGGCCACAAAAATGTGTTCTCTGCCTTTACCCATCCTAACTAGTAGGAGCTGTGGGCAGCTATTGCAGAGCGCCCAGGGAGCAATGGGAGTGAGGGGGGAAGGGGGGTGTCCGGTGCCTTGCTCAAGGGCACCAGGGCAGGACAGGAGGTGAACTGGGACCTCTCCAAGTAGTAGTCCACAATCCATATTTAGGTCCTGTCGGGGACTTGAACCAGCAACCCTACAGCTCCCAGTCCAAGCCCCTACTGACTGAGCCACTGCCGTGGTTTATATAGAATATTGCTTTACCTTCTTGACAACAGTATGTCCATTTTCATCTTTGTACGTTTCTTCCATCACTGACTGAGAGGGGAATTCAGGCATTTCATCAGCCTATAAGGAAAATAAGACAAACAATAATCAGAAATGCTGACTTAGGTCTGTCCAAAGTTAATGTGTTATTTATCCACTTCAAACACAAGTCGTTAAACGTTAAAAAAAGCACAACAGACATATATTTGGCATACAGGAATCAAACTTATATGTGTCAAAAACAACATAAAAAAGTGCCCACAACAGCATACAACACCATCAAGAGGTTCAGCCATAGTTGCAAATCAAGTAGCAGGTTTCTTATAAACTCTAAATTATTCTTTAAACACCTGGAATTTGACGAAACGAAAGGCTGTTACACAGTTTACATTTTCACTTCATAGCAAAGACCTAGCATTATTTGAATTATGTTGCACTCTGAAAGTCACACCCTGCATGCTCATATAAAACACCTTCAATCATACTTCATCAGATACCTTTATGACAACCCTCCTTCGCACTATTCTGGTGGTCAAAAATTCATCATCTGAACTTTCTGACATTAATCCGAGCTCTGCGCTGATCTCCTGACCAAGCAACACAAATCCATTGACATTTAATAGATGAAAACATATGATAAAAAACATGTTTGCTACAAAGCAAGCAATAAGCAGAGTGGTATGGTGCACTTTTCATTTTAAATATGTTACAATTTGATTTAATATCTTACATTGGAAAGTGCAACATGGCAGTCTGTTAGTAACACAAAAACTTTGCAAAGAAATACCATGCGTTCACTTCACATCATCAAGTAATAAAAACATTTATTGCTTATAAAAAAACATGTAGCTTATGTTATTACAGTAAGTGATACAGCCAGTTAAAGGCAGCACAGTGACATGCTGAGTTAGGATGGTTAAAATACAAGTAAAATGAGGGGTATGAGGAGTCTATTAGATCCAATTCATGTGGCCAGGGGTGGGAGGGTTAGCAGACATTCCTCTCTGAAGCAATTATAACATTTGTTCAAGCTCAGTTCCAGGAAAAATCTTGCATGTTGGGGTGGTTTACCAAATCTCATCTTACCCTTGTGAGAGATGTATCAGTATCACAATATTCTCCATTTTTTAAGACTGTAGGTGGTTGTGAAGCCTTGCACAAGGTGAATTCTTCATCCGATGCTTCTGAGTAGTGCAACAATTCTTCACTCTCTTCTTGTACCTTAAAGAAAGGCTCATGGACAAGAGAAGCATCCTCAAAATCTTCGCTTCCAGAGGACAACAAGACCCTTTGGTTCACCTTATTTAGCACTCTTGGATGACTATAATGATCCTTGGGCTGATCTCCTTTTGCACTAGTACTTGTCTCGGGTTCAGTTTCTGAGAAATCTGATCCAGCCTGGTTGCAGTCAAAGTAAGGCTCTGGGTCAGAGTAGTCAAGGGGTGGGCTGTCTGCACAACTATTCACAGCGTCTTCATATGCTGGAGGCATGTGGATATAGATGGTTGCCTCTGGATACCCAACTGGGAGGCTGTACTCCTCATCAGAGGTTAATGAAGTCGTCTCTGCTTTAGATTGCACTGGAGTGGACTGAGAGACAAAAAAATCTGAGTCTACTGAAGTCAGAGATTCTTCTGAATGCCGTCCACTGGTATTTGGCCTATCCTCATCTGAAGATTTCTCCAAATTCCCTGGGGAGGTAGGTGTCATAAGTTCCTCAAAACAGAAATGTCTTGTGGATATAACTGTCTCTGGAGTTAAATCAGGAACAGACTGAGAGGAGACATCGTCAGTCTGAATGGATTCCAAAAAAGTATCCTCCCATAAAAGTGGAAGTTGAATACTCTGTGTTGATATTTCTTCTGTCAAACCCATTGAATCTTTAGATGATGTAGCTGATTCCAGTTCTTCCCGGTTTTGAAGTAAAATATTTGTAGAATCTTCCTCAGAAACATCATCCTGAGGTATTTCAGACGAACTCTTTGCAGTTATCTTGGGAAAAGACACTGAAGGAAATGTCTCAGTGGCATTTTCGTCATAAGTGCTGGAATGGGATTTGTCCACAGGAATACTTAAGTTCAGTGATTCCATTTCATCAAAACCTCTATTGGGAGATTCTGGAGTTGAAAGAGAGTCAGTAAGGGATACAGGACTATCCTTACGACTTCCAAGGCTTGATGGTGCTGTTTCTTCAGAGGTTTCTGTAAAATGAGGAGTGACTGAGATTATTTCGGGTTCATCTTGAATTGGTATCTGGAAATGTCCAGGTTCTGTGATGGCTACATTTTTTAAGTTAGTATCTTCTCCAAGCTGTGTAGCAGTTGGCATGCTGACTCTTAGGTCATGACTTCCATCTGTAGGGCTGATATTTTCAGGTGAAAGGCCTTCAAACTCGTAAATGTCATCTGCCTGAGGGCTTTCATCACTCAATTCTGACAATTGGGGGTCAAGTGTCTCTGGTCTGAATTTAAGTTTCATCTTCTCCAGATCTGACAGCAGCTGGTCAAGCTTAGGGGACCCAGTCTCTGGTGGTGTTGGAGTGGACTCTGAGGACATCAGGATTTGGTCATCTGGACTTTCTTGAGCTATCTGACATAGTGAGCCTGGGGTTGCTGGGCTGGGTTTTGCTGAGTCAGACTTTTCGCTTTGTTTGGGGGATGTCAGCATTTGATCTTTTTCCTGTAGTGAGTTTCTTGGCTTGGTCAATGTGACATCAGATTGTGATTTACTTAGTTCGTAGTTACCTGGAAGTGCTAATTCTAGTTTTTCAGTGCAAATTGTGTTTGAATCATGTACCAAAGATGGTTTCTCAGTTGGACATTCTTGACTCTTTTCTAAATGAACTTGTTTTTGTTTTGAAGATTCTGAAACGTTTGTCCTCAAAGACGTTGGTGAAACCTGCAAGAAATGATAAAATGGAATGGGAAATAATGAAAATAAATATGATTTGTGATTTATATTGGTGATGAAAGGAATAGTCAAAAAAGTGTGCATTTGTCAATGACAGGCTATATGACAGCAGTGCCTCAATTGAGGAAATTAACTTGTAGCCCACTTAGGTGATTACAATAGTATATAATATATGTTAATACTATTTATCATAAAGACCAAATACAATTTTAAATGCATTACTGATTTGTAAAGACCGATAAAGATGCTGCATAATTATGATATTTTGAAAGTAGCCTTGATAATAGTATGATTGGGGATATTTCACTGAGAACATCACTGTCAACAGAAGATCATTTTACAATAATAAAAGAAGGGCACAAGTGAACTTGAGTCAAAAAAAGCCTTTTGTGGAACATGGCAGGTGGACATGCAACATTTAACACTTATTCAATAGGTGTTCAATAGGCTCACTAGTTTAAAGTATGTGTCAACTCAAAATTAAAACAATGCTACTGTCTCTTGTGCTGCAGGGCTGCCCCACCTTCCAAAAGGTAAATCATTATGTGATAACAGTAATGAAAGGATCCCACTTCGTTTACAGAATTCAACATTTGGCAAAGCTTATTGCAGAATTATAGTATGTGTTGTATTGTCCCCTTTTTTACATTTGAGACGATAGATTGTAGACTCTAGTCTAGCTGATGCAAGAGCACCAGTTAGAATAGAAATGTAAAGCTGTTAAGCGAAGACCAAAATAGCGCTATAAAGCATATTGCAATCTACAAAATAACATATTGCACCTTATGGTGAAAATGGAGACTTGAATCTCCTTCGACTTGATCCAGTCAGGTCAGGCACTTTAAATGAATCCCTTAGTATGTGGGTTAGTATTTTATTTATTATGAGAATGTCCATACCAGGACAAGCATCTCACGTCACTAAGACAGGGTCATTCTCTTAAGTCCATTAGTTGCGCTTCACCAAAATGTTTTGTCTTCTGCTCTGATGCAAACATTCCACAGCAAGACAGTGAAGCTTCTGAGCATTATTAGTAAAAGCTTGGGGCAAGAATTATACATTCAAACTTTAGATATGGCCATATGCATTATGCCATATGCACTGCAACACTGCAATCACTGCTGAACAAAATATTGTGCTGTCTTACCGACACCAAGGAACTTTTGCTCTTGTCCTCGCTCATGGATTTTCTTTTCATGTTATTGGAAAACCAATCTTGGGCTTGTGTCATCTTTGATTGTGATTCAGAGTCAGTCCGTTTATGTTTGTGAACAAATAATCTTCGTTTAATTGGTTCTCTCGTTGCCTTAGTTTGTTCATGGTAAGCCTCCTTTGGCCAGACAGCATGATGACATATATAAAACATTTCGAGAGATGGCATGTGACTCAACTTATTGAAAAACTGGCTACACCTGTGTGATCTGAAATCATCAAATGTAGGTTCTTTGCTGTGGGAGAAGGAATCCTGAAAAAAACCGACTAGTCAGTTTGTGTTTGAGGAGGAACCTATGGGTTTTGTTTCCTCTTTTCCAGTTTGTGGCTTTGGCAAATGAGGATCAAGTACGGTTGAGTGGGACACTGAGGACTCCTGTAAAAGTTTGGAGTCCGGTATAATGCATTCAAATGGACACGATTTGGATAAATCTTTACATTTGTTTTGATTACAAGACTTCTCAGACAATTTATCAACTGAATCTTTAAAGAAACTAACTTTGTTGCAGAGATATTTTTCTTTATAAAATTGATCATCTATGTGTGTGTGTTTTTCTAGGGTAGATTCACAGGATCTTATTTCACGGCAAGAACAATTTCCTTTATAGATAGGATCATACAAATGTGACATTAAGTTGTTAACAAAAGGCTTGCTTTATACACTGTATTCTTTAGTATATATTGTGGATTCTGATGCCATGGATTCATTAGAGACGGGTTGGCGGAGGGTCATTTTTATCTGTGACTCTTGGACTGAAGCAGAGCTTTCAGCAGTTTGTTTAGCTTCAACCAGTAAACTGCGTGAATCTGGTTTGCGCTCGTCAGGGACTTCCTTAAGACAAGAATGAGAACACATTACATCTGAGAGCATTAAAACAGGTGATACTGGCCTATTTTGAGAGTAGTGCAAGTAGTAGTCACAATGTTGGCCAAATGTCATTACACAAGGCAAAGAATGTTGTTTAACTGACTCCAGATAATGTGGGGAGGATGCTCTGAAGTCTGCTAACCAGTCCTGCAGGGTGGAAAAGTCCAAATCCGATGAGATGGAGTCCGGGGACAATCCCCTGCTACTAAATAACACATCAAGTTCATAGTCTGAAAAAACTGATTTTGGATAATCTGGTCTGGTAGTGTCGAATATGGTTTCTAGACACAGATCAGTACCTTCCCAGTCTGAAAATGATGATTGTGGTGTGAATGACCTGTTCCTTGACAATTCCACATGTTCACCCAAATGCTGATAACTGTACTGAGGAACAGGTGAGTCTGGAGAGAGTGGCCTATGTTCACTTTGAGATGCCACTGACTCTGGGGAGGATGCTCTAAAGTCTGCTAACCAGTCCTGCAGGTGTGAAAAGTCAAAATCAGATGACATGGAGTCTGGGGACAATCCCCTGCTACTAAATAACACGTCAATTTCATAGTCTGAAAACACTGACTGGGGAGAATCTGGTCTGGCAGTGTCGAATATGATTTCTGGACACAGATCAGTACCTTCCCAGTCTGAAAATGTTGATTGTGGTGTGAATGACCTGTTCCTTGACAATTCCGAATCGTAAAAGGTATGGGGAAATCTGAGCTGAGGAACTGGTGAGTCAGGAGAAAGTGGTCTTTGTCCACTATGAGACGCCACTGCCGTGGGAGACTGTGATTCCACTTAAGTGACCCAGTCCTCTATTGAGGAGTGAGTCCACTTGTTGTCTGATGACTCTAACTGAGGCCAAATAGGAACAAATTCAAATGGTTTGCAGACCAACAAAGCTTCTGCTTGACTTTCATGCGTTAGGCCTCGCACAACATCTGCATATGTAAGAGCTCTTGTTGTGGACAATGGTGGGGACCCAGATATAGTTATGCTTGATTGTTCAGCACCAACTGGTAAAATAGACGAATCTGGCGAATCTGGTCTATTTTCATCAAATAATTCCTCCAGACAGAATCCGTAATACTCAATATCTGACAGCGTTGAAAAAGGTGATACTGGCCTATTTTGAGAGTAGTGCAAGTAGTAGTCACAATGTTGACTCTCCATTTGGAAAAATGTCATTGCACAAGAGAAGGAATGTTGCCCAACTGACTCCAGATAATCTGGGGAGGATGCTCTAAAGTCTGCTAACCAGTCCTGCAGAAAAGAAAAGTCAAAATCAGAAGAGATGGATTCTGGGGACAATGCCCTGCTACTAAATTGCACATCAAGTTCATAGTCTGAAACTTCTGACTGCGGAGAATCTCGTCTGTTCTCATCAAACCTAATTTTATTTGGAAACTCGAAAATGAATGTTGGTCTCTCCACCAAGTTAAAGACCATTGGAGTGGGTGTTGGTTGTTGTTGGAAAATGTGACAAGACTCTCCAGATTTGTTTTGATATGTGAGATCAGAGTTTTTTGTGAATGAGTTTTGTTTTCCATTGTGCTTTAAGGTGTTTTGTTTAATGTTTGTTAAATGATCATCGGAATGACGTTGTGATTGTATGCATTCAGAGGAATTTGGATTTAACTTAGAAAACCAGTAATCAAGGAAAGATTGACTACTTTTCTGTGATGGTTTTGGTGCTTCGGATGAGGATGGACATAGCTGAAATGACCCTGACTCGTTTTGACTCAAACAGTCTGTATTTGCACTATAAATACTTTTGACATCAGAATGTGAAAGGTATTTTGAGGCTGGAACATCAGTACCAAACATCGGTGCCCTTTCTTCAGCTCTTACCTGCCATGTCAATAAACCTGGTGCATATCTGCTTTTTTTATCGTAACATTTATCAAGAGGTGATGGTGCATTCATAGAATATTGCAAACGATTTGAAGCTACTAATTCTGTTGTCAAAGGGTCACCCTGACACAGTTCAGTTGGGTAGTTGCAGAATGTAGTGTAAGGAACTGACGTCAGTGGTTGCAAGGGTAGATTTCCCCTTGTATATAGTAAATAATAATCACAATATTGACTCATAAGTTGGGCACGAATAGGTTCTGAAAGTAAGAGTTCAACAAATGAGAAACTGCACTGAGAAGTCTGTGAATCTGGCGAGGAAGGTCTTCCGAGAAGGCCCCTTTCATTAACAGGTAACAATGGGCTACCCTGCTCCTCAGACGCCAAATTATCAGGGGTGAAGGGGCTGTATTCTAAAAAAGTGAAAGGAAATGTCACATCATCCTCAGGTGCTTGTTGCACAAGAGAGTTGCTATCAGTTGAGTCAAAAGCCATGTGAGAAGGGCAACTCGTTGTAAGACTGTCAGGAAACTTGGTATCTGGTTCCTTCATTTCAAATGGTTTCATCATGCTGTACTTTGCTGTTGCAATAATGGGTTCAATTAAATCATCAATGAAGGGCATATTTCCCCAATACCCTTCATTGCACACTTTAGGTTTTGTATTATCTTTCTTGCCTGAATTGATGTGTTTGAACCCCTTATCTCTACCTGCAACCAGTGAGATCTTGTCATGATCAAACAGTACATCAGTACACTTCTGAGAGAGCCTGCTTTTTCTAGCTACATCTGTGTCACATTCAGTCATGACCAGAGTTGTTTGGTGGTCCTCTGGTGGTAAGACTAACAGGCTAGGGTCAGGCAATTGACATCTTCTGACAATGGTTTTAGACGTGTCTGTATGCTCTGGTGTATAGCTTGACTTATTGCAAAGCTCACTGAAGTCAGTCTCAGCTTGGTCTGACTCTGATAGGCTCAAACCAAAGTCTCTGACAGATATTGATGATGGTAACTTCAGAAATACAGTTGATTGCCCTTGCTCATCTTCCAGAACACACTGCTTCAATGGTAATGATTGGCTGGTGTCATCTTTGACTTGGCTTTGAATTAGAGGGCCACCTTGGAAAGACCTGGTGAAATAAACACTGCAGCAATCTTGCTGTTCTTTCACTTCAAGGCCATAAACCTGTGTTGCGTGGCTCCCCAGTGCTTCTTCTTTTGAAGTGGAAAGTGTACTCACTTGCTCATTAGAATGATCATTACTTGTAGGTTCTTGTGTAATAAAATCCTCAGAGGTCCACAGGTTAGGGTTCAATTCACTGTAACACAGAAAGAACACTATGTCACAAAATTAGACATAGCATTAATATATCATGTCATAGCCCCATTTTAAACTAAACATTGTTGTTTAATGACATTTTTCTATATTAACCTCCATAAAAAATAAATAAGCATATGTCTTTATGCTTATTCGGCAAGAAAGGTCAAATGATGTGGGACAATTTCATGCTGTCAATGTGTGATGTAGATTCAGGGAATTCTTTTAAATAAATAATTTACTGTGGGATCTCAAGGTCCTCCAACAGGTCACCATGCATGCTCTCTGAGTGCGTGTGTCCAGCAGGCTCTGCCCAGGAAGTAATATCCAGTAGAGAAGCAACAGATAGGTCCTCTTCAGAAACAGCTGGGGGTGGTCTGCGGTCTGACTCCACCCTTCTTACGATTTGGGGGCTGTCTGCATCCTCTTGAACTAAAGATAGGGCTACTGACACTGAAAAAACACACTTGATGAATAAGCTGAACATTGTGCTCACAAGAAATTAAATATAGCCTGGTTTGAGATAGAGCTTTCAAATTGGTGATTTATTTGGGTACCTTCACTGTGATCCAGTGTCTTCTCGATCTCTGCATATGTTCTAGATGTTTGCTCTTGAACTGACTTGTTCATCTGGGTTTCAATGAGATGGACAATGTCCATGCGGTTGATCTTGGTTAGTCTCTTAATAAGACAGTCCTCTGTGGAGATATTGAAACAATCATTAATAGAGTACAAAACTGTAAAACAAACATATAATTAACACAACAAAGTAATGATTTAGAAATTGCAAATGTAAGTTTACATTACATCTACAGTGTTAATATATAGATCTATAGGATACACAAATCATCACATTCAAACTAAGAAATGTTCAGGATTCAAAGTGTTTTTATTTACAAATCCAACTAAAATGTAAATCAAAATCTTTCAGACCATCAAGCAATGTACCTGTGGCATGTTTGCCTTCCCGCTCAACCCAGCGCTGCAGCAAGGCATGGCTCTGCTCTTGGAGGGAATTAGGATTCTCTGTTCGCACTAATTTAATATCATCTTCACTGAATTCCAGTTCTCTTGCCAGTTCTAGAGCGTTAAAAATGGGATGACAATGTAAACCATTAAATCATATTTTATTTGTTTAGCAGCTAGAACATGGATACATACAACATAAAAGATACTAGCAAAATGATTACATTATTTGACAACTTACCAGTCCAGCTGAAACCAAGAAGATCTGCAACGATAGCTAATGTCTCCTCTTTCCTGTCAGCATCATCCTGCCAATCCACTAAAGAAATTGCCGTAAGAGCCAGTCATTACGTTTTATTATCATGGTCAATAGTCCAAGGTGTAGAATACCATTACCCATACATATATAAGTAAAGCTTTTTTACCATTGCAGGTACCAGTCATATATACACAGTATTTGATGCGCATATCTTTATGTAATTAATATGTGAGGATTGTATGGTATAGGCTGTTATACTCTGAAATTAAATGTATGTAATGTTGACATAAATGAACACATAGATGTTGGATTTGTCCCTAAGAAGAGGAGTTCTAACTTGTTTACAGCCTATGATAATTTGGTCACAATTAGCACATTATATTTTTAATCATTAGTACAAGCAAAGACAGTAATGTGCTGGTAAAGTGGTGTTGATGTTAATATTAGTAAAGCTGTATTAGTAGTACATGTCATATACCAATAACATACAAATTGTCAAAGCTACTTCTTCTTTAACAATAAGGCCATTCAATCTTGAGATTGCAGAAACAGATGTAAAAGTAAATAACCATCATGCAAAAAACGCACACACACACACACACACACACACACACACACACACACACACACACACACACACACACACACACACACACACACACACACACACACACACACACACACACACACACACACACACACACACACACACACACACACACACACACACACACAGACAGAAAAATACAAAAAGGAAAGGAAAGAAAAGGAGATGCAAATTGGCACAAGACAAATAAAAAAAAATGAAATCAGCACAAATGACTTTCTTGACATATTCTAAGGAAGATGGGTCTTTTTGCCAAGGACAGGAGATAAGAAAGCAAAAGCTCATGTAGGTCTGGCCATACCTGGCATACATTTTGGAGATGGCTCATCGTTGTTTCTCTGCATCTGAGTTTCAACTGTGTCATCCCAGGCAGGCCTTGATTCAAAAACATCTTCCCTCCCTGAAGATGGTTGCACCACTGGCAACAAATTGCCTTCAGAATCAGAACCGTGTGAGGCTGGGATGTCATAAGTGAAGAGAACAGAGTCTGGACTTGTGTAAGTAGTGCTGCTTAGATCATCAGCATCCAAAGACCTAACAGATGTGTCAGTTGTTGTAGAGAGTTGGACTCCTTTCCTTTGGTGAAAGGAGGAGATTCTCTGAGTTGGAGATTTCTGTTGCATCATAACAGGACATTTGGAAGGGGAAAGGCTGGATTTATCAATTGGTTGACTACTGTCAGAATAACTCCTGTGGGCTTTAATAGAGGATTGATTTGTGTCGCTATCCGCCTCAGATCTAGTCCTACGTTCCAAAGTTGAGCTTGTGTCTAATTTCTTTTTAACGCAATCAACCTCAGAATTCTGTGAGTCTTTCAAGGTTATTTCTGAATGTGGAGGGGAATCATGATGATATGCTGAGGACACCTCTATAACCGAGCACTGATCTTCTTCATCTTCCTCATCTTCCTCCTCATCATACTCATCATCAGGAGAGGATTCTGAGGAACCATGGCTCTGCTTTGAGGTTACTGTTAATGTTATCTCTGATTGAAGGTCTGCAATGGTAGAGTCCAGATAACCAAGACCAAGGCTCTCAAGATTTCCAACGTCACTCTGATTGATGGTAAGTCTCTCCATATAACTGGGGGAACCAAGCTGAACCTCGACGGAACTGCCAAGATTAGCTTCACAAAGTGGCTTCCCGCTCTCTGACTTGTCACTTGAGTGTTTGATGAGAGTTCTGGGTTTGGGAGTAGGAATGGTTTTATTGGCACCCTGACACTCTTGAAGAGTTGTTTCTGCAATATAATCACTATTCTCTAAAGATAAATACTCTGTTTGACCTTCCCCAGTCATCTTTGGTACAACTTCATCCACTGAATGTTCCCCTATATGGAAAAACGCATATGCTTCTCCTTCATCAAAACTTCTTGTCATATCAATAGCTCCCCCTCTGGTCATTTCAAAAAGCTTTCCCTCTTGAAACTGGAATGGATCAGGGGTTCTCTTGTCACTAGGGGTTCGAACAGGTGTTTTATCAGGAGTTTTGCGGTCGTCTGAAGGACTAATATTAATATGTTCCACAGCCTCAAGCTGTGAATTTAGGACTGCATCATTCTTAACCTTAAACCCTGCAATGACAGATTCTTGTTCCTCAGTACACACCATAGCATGAGATTGACTAACATCACTTGAACCTGTAAGTGGTGACTCAACTTCGTTGTCATCATCTGAATGGTGCTCACCTTTCACATGACTGGTAAAAGTTGTTTCAGTTACAGATGGCTGGTCACCTTCTACAACATCTTTATCTTTATATATATCCGGTCCTCCTTCTGATGACCGCAACACAGATAGTTGTGACTGATTTTCCACCTCCTCTTTGATTTGAACACTAATACCTGTTGCCTCACTAAGTGTCTCAGGTGTATTTTGTGAGAAGGTCTTTAAACCTGGGCCAAAGTTTGGATCTGGATGATCTTCTCTGAGATCCCCTGTCTCTAATTTGTCTCTCTTCATATTATATTCCTGATCCATCTCATCAAATGTTTTGATCTTTGCTGCCATTTTGAACATATCCTCTTCTGGGGTGAGATGTTTATTGGTGGCATCATTCTCACTATCGTCTTCTTCGAGAGAGTCTTGCCTTATGCACATGTGAAGATTCTTGCTGTCGCATATGTTGCTGTCAGAAAACATATTGCCAGTTATGGATTCTGAGCAGGAATGAATGTCCTCCTTAATCCCACTTTCATTTTGGATGATCTCGTAGTTGATTTCTGGCTCACCACGTTCACTGTCATCCATGTAGATATTGTTGTCATAATTATAACATGCTTTAAGCTGTGAGGCATAGTCCTCGTACACAGCCGTTTTGGCTGGAATCTCAAATTCTGACTCTTTAGATTGAGTGGGACTTCCCTCAAGAGAGTCTGGACAAGGAGAGTCTCTGCTAGGGCTTGGCTCAATTGAATCCGGGGATCTGTCTGAAGATCTATCCTCCATTACAGGACTTGCCTCTAGCGAGTCTTGATGGTATGCCATTATAATTGGGTCACTATCAACCACAGTGTTTAAGTTCTCCAAATGAAACGGTCGTTGTGATGTGTCAGAACTACTCGGTAGTTGCAAATATGTGTCTTTATAATCATTATTACAGTCATTAATTGCTAAATATGACTTTGTATTGCAGAACGCCTCATCAGTAGAGTCATGGAAATATGATGCTGCACATGGTGAGGTTTTAGCCTCACTTGTTTCAGCTGAAAAGCTCTTGGGTCCTTCATCTTCGTGGGAACATGTCTGCCATCCACTTTTCAAGGTTTTCTTTTCATTAAAGTCCACAAATTCTAAGTGTGTTTCTTGTGGTGACATCCTGTGTTCAGGGGAATTTGAAAGACTTTCCCTGTTAGTTTCCTTAGTTAGTATAATTTGCGTGTGGCTCTCAAGGACTACCTGCTCTTCTGGGGGGCATTGTAAAACCATAGGCTTTTCCTTTAAGTAATGATTTAAGTCCGTACTGAGCAGTGACAACATGCCTGACATATCCCTCTCAGTTGCAGACTTTTCTTGTTGTGACTTCCTCTGAATGCAAACTTCTTCGAATGGTGTCTCATATACAGAGCTTGGGGACAATTCTGTGACTCTAACTACGTTGGTCTGGCTGTCTTCATTTGCTTTTACATCAATATTTTCCTCGGAGTTACTACTCGTCAGTATACGTTGTTTGTAGCTCTCACGGACTAGATCAGCTTTTTCTGGGTGGCATTGTATTGCCACTGGCTTTTCTTTGAGATATTGATCCAAGTCACCACTGAGAAGCGACAACATGCCTGACATATCCCTCTCAGTTGCAGACTTTTCTTGTTGTGACTTCCTCTGAATGCAAACTTCTTCGAATGGTGTCTCATATACAGAGCTTGGAGACAATTCTGTGACTCTAACTACGTAGGTCTGGCTTTCTTCATTTGCTTTTACATCAACATTTTCCTCGGAGTTACTACTCGTCAGTATAACTTGGCTGTAGCTCTCACGGACTAGATCTGCTTTTTCTGGGTGGCATTGTATTGCCACTGGCTTTTCTTTGAAGTCACCACTGAGAAGCGACAACATGCCTGACATATCCCTCTCAGTTGTAGACTTTTCAGGATGTATTTCCATGCAAACTTCTTGGAATGATGTCTCCAATACAGAACCTGGCGTAAGTTCCTTGATTTCAACCACATCAGAATGTTCATATGTTTCTGCACTTATATTATCATCCATGTCAGTACTACTTAACTGATGTGTTTTAGAAGATTTTTGGTTTTTGGTGAGGGTAACTTGTTCAAATGTCTCCTGGATGGCGTCCTTTTCTTGAGGTCTATATTTCACTGGCCTCTCCTTGAGAGACGTGTCCATGTCACTATTGAGTAGTGATAGCATGCCTGACATCTCCTTTACTTTTGTAGATGGCTGATTTGAAGTCTTTCTCTTTATCTGCTTTTCCTCCATTGGTAGTTCTTCATTCAGGGTTACTGTGGTTTCTTTGAAACTTCTTTCCATTTCTTCATCTCTCTCTGTGACCTTATAGTTTTCTGGTACAAAAACTGTTTCTTGTGTTGTGCCATCCACTGTTGCTCCTTTATTTTCATCAGTAAGAGTTTTGATAGTTTCAAATGTGTCCTGCACATTATCCTCTTCTATTGTTAGACGAGCAACAGGCATAGCCTCTAGATATTGATCGATATCATTGTTCATGACTGACAAACTTCCAAACGTCACTTTTTTGGCTTCTTTAAATTCACTGTCTATTTTTTCATCACCCCATGTAATTGGATGTTCTTCTGCTGGTGCGTGATCTGGTTCTTGTGTTGTGCTCCCTGCTGTTCCCCCTACTGCTCCGTTATTTTCGCTATTGACAAATGTAAGAATTACTTTATCTTTTTCCTTTGTTAAAATAATTTCTTCAAATGTTTCTTGAACAATATCCATGTCTGGGGACTGACTTACCACAGGCCTTGCTTTTAGATACTGATCCAAGTCCCTGTTCATTAAAGACGACATCCCTGACATATCTTTTACTGCATTGGGTGCCTGGCTAAATGTGTTCCTCTCAATGTGGACTTCTTGATGAAGTGGCTCCTTGATTTCCACCTCTGTTACCTTAGTGTCAGTTTGTGTAAAAAATGTTTTGCTCCCATAATCAATCTTTGTATCATCTCTGCTTGCTTCATGAAGTATTCTTTCCTGAGAAGGCATGATGTCTGTTTCCTCTCTTTTAGTAGAGTAAGTAAGCATTTCATTGGTCTGTTGATGTGTCACTGCGAGTCCTTGATAGTAGTCACTTTCCTCTGGGCTGGCATGAGGTGTTCTAATATCAACATCAGCGATTAAGGAATCAGCCATATCTTGATGCTCAGGATTCTCAGGACTTGGATTATCATCTTTTATTTGATTTTCAATAGGAGAAGCACGTCCCCCAAAATAGCTTTTTAAACAGGGACTAGAGATGGGGGCTGGATTTGTATTAGAATCAGCCATGGTTTCATCCTCGGATACCTCCCGCTGATTGGTTACATCTTCAGCTGTTGATGTTCTCTTAAAAAGCTGGTACTCGGGGCTTTCTTCCAGCTCAGCTTTTATATCAGCACTGAAATCCTCGGAAGGTCTGCGATCAGGGCTGATATGCATGTCTTCAGATAAACTTCTACTGGTGCTTATGTGTGGTTTTTCCAACTGCATCTTGCCCCAGTCATTCCCTGAAAACTCTGACTCTTCTCTGTTAGGCCTAACCTTTCCATCATCAAACTGAACTGTATCATCAATTTCCACTGTCTTTCCGAAATAAGCAATATCTGAAACGAGTTGTAACTCCTCAGAGTTATCTCTCTTTAAGGTTATTGCTTGCAGTATTGGCTCCTGTGTGGGGCCGTGTTCAGTTGTCTGTAAGTCTTCAGGCCTTTCTGATTCAGATATTGTTGTTGAAATACAAGAAGAAGCAATGGATTTGTGCGCACTTATCCCAGCTTTACTTTTTGAAAGGTCTTGTCCAGTCTGGAATGTTTTCATCAGGTCCTTTACAGATGATGTCGCTGTCCCTGACAACTCTGGTGCCTCTGTCTGTGGACTTATGCTACCATCGTCATATGGAAGTGTTTCAGTAAATGTGACTGTCTTTACAAAATAAGAATTATCTGAAATGGTCTCTAATTCCTTGCGGGCATTTCTGACGCTGTCAGCTGTGTGGGTTTGTGATTTGGGCTCCTGCATAGCACTTTGTTCAGTCGATTGTATTTCTTCAAAATCTTCTGATTCAGGTGTCAATGTTGAAATGCAAGAAGTGTCAGCTTTGTGTTCAGAAAGTCCAGCTTTAGTTTTTGAGGGATCATGCCCAGTCTGGAATGTTTTCAGCAGCTCTTTTACAGACATGGTGTCCTTCTCTGACAACTCAGATGTCTCTTTCTGTGGGCCAACGTCTTCATCACATTTTACTGTTTCAGCAAATGTTACCGTCTTTCCAAAATAGGCCCTATCTGAAATTGTCTGTGATTCTTCAAAGTGATCTCTGCTTAAGCTTACTGGTTGATCCTCTGGTTCTGTTGAGCAAGAGCTGTTGGCATCACTCTGTTGGTGTAAAATTGTGAGATTCTGAGTTAGGGTTTGTGATTTTGTCCCTTCTTTAGCACCGTGTTCAGTTGCTTGAATCTCTTTAGAATCTCCTGATTCAGATATGATTGTTGAAATAGAAGCAGAAGCAACAGGTTTGTGTTCAAAAAGCCCTTCCTTAGTTTTTGAGGGATCTTGCCCAGTCTGGAATGTTTTCATCAGCTCTTTTACAGACATGGTGTCCTTCTCCGACAACTCAGATGTCTCTTTCTGTGGGTCAGTGTCTTCATTGACTGTTTCAGCAAAGGTTACCGTCTTTCTAAAAGTCGAGCTACAATCTGAAATCAACTGAGATTCATCAGAGTTATCTCTGATTAAACTAATTGGTTGATCCTCCAGGCCTGTTTCACACTTCTTGACCTCACTCTGGGGATGGAACACTGAGATGGTCTTAGTTTGGAATTGTGTAGCACTTTGTTCAGTTGTGCATATCCCTACAGAATCTTCTGATTCAGACATTGATGTTAAAATGCAAGAAGACTCAACTTTGTTTTCAAGTGGCCCTACTTTAGTTATTGAGGAATCACTCCCAGTCTGGAAGGTTTTCATCACTTCCTTCACAGACATGGTATCCTCCATTGGTCTTTCTTCTGTCCTCTGTATTTCATCAGAATCTCCTGATTCAGATATCAATGTTGAAATACAAGAAGAGGCCACTGCTTTATGCTCAAAGAGGCCAGCTTTATTTTTTGAAGGGTCCTGTCCAGTCTGAAATGCGCTCATCAGTTCCTTGACAGACATTGTCTCATCTAATCTCTCTGTCTGAGATCTAGGTGATTTAGGGGACTTGGGAAGTTCGGGCATGTCTGCCTTTTTCTTTGTTGTGTCAATAGAAGATTTTCCCAGAGGAATTGGTTCCTGAGAATGTTGTTGCACCTTCTCATCTTCAAATGCGTTCTGTAAAGCTTTAACTCTGTCCTGTATTGATCCTATAGATGTCTCAACCACTAAAGGAGAAGCTGGAGGATCCATAACTGTGGTGGGTACAAGGGCACTTTCCTTAAGAACAACATCGCCATCTAAAGACTCCTCAGAACTCATCCTTTCCATCTCACCCTCGGAGCTGCTGCACCCAGAACGCTCTCTGTCTCTAAGTTTCTTCCTAATAGGTTTCTTGATATCTGGAGGACGCCGTTTGCCGTCACGGTCTTTAATAACCTGTTCAAATCTATCTTGGACAAGATCTTCTTGAGAACTAAATGTCACTACAGGTCTCTGTTCCATGTATTGGTCCATGTCGATGCTGAGGCTTGAGACCAGACCAGTCATGTTTCTGACCTCTGGGGCGGACCTACTTGTCTTCCCCTCAATGCACATCTCCTGTAAGACTGGTTCATCGACAGGGTGATAATTAATTTCAACAGTCGTAGTCTCATAGATTGAACCCCTTTTCTCTTTTTGAGCATTATCTCGTTGAACTTCATGTCTACTATCGTTAAGGCCACCTTTTTGAATCCCTCCAACCTTTTCCTCCCTTTCTTCTGACAAAATAGACAAAGGCTCTTTGTCTTCCAACCCTCTAGCTCCAGCTCTCTCCTCATATATTGAGTGCTCCATTTGCTCTGCAGTCAAATTAGCAGACATTTTGATGTCCGATATTTCCGAGAGAAGGTCTGGGCTTGCAAGGGTTGCAGGGTCAAGAGGTTGGTTAGTTCTCAGGGAGAATGTCTCAGTTGATTCAGACTCATCATCTTCAGTTTAAAAGTTTCACGACCAAAAAGGGTAGAGAACATAAGGGACAAATTAAGTGGGAAAGAGAGACATCAGAAAATTGTGATCAAGACAATGCCATCAAAAATCCATCTTCAGTTCACAGAGTAAGGAGAGTAATGACAGGGCAGAGGAAACGGAAGTCTAAAAAAATAGGTAAAAAAGAAGATGACAAAGGTATCCAGATGACTTTGAAGAAGAGAAGAGCAGCATAAGCAAAGCCAGGAGTAGTAAAAAAAGGCAGGTAGAAAATGGTAGAGAATAATATATACTTAATTTGTTCGACTACATATTTAGGAAGTAACACAAAGAATACAAAAAGAAACACAGGGAAATCCAAAAATACAGCAAATGAAGGACAACAGACAAACAAAACCTCTCAAGATTGTTACTGACATGAAGAGTCATGTCTGCCAAATTAAAGTTTTGAAACATAGACAAATATGATTAACTTATAATACTGATCATAATAGCATTTTAAGAGGAGGTCTGAAGTGAGTATTTAATGTAAAGAAATCTAGTGTCTGTTACTGTATATGTGTGTGTTCTTGTAAGTAATGTAAAGTGATGTATCACATATTTATTGATATTTCCAGGGTATCAAATATCATTAAAGATACCATTTGTAAGTTATAGTTACTTTGTTTTATGAACATATAGTACTATAAGTTCACATACAGACAAGCAGTAGTGATGTTGTATAACAATTATGTAAAAATGTTATTTTGAATTTGATTAAAGTAATACTCAAAAAATGAATGAAAACAACAAGTTGCTAAACGACAGTAGTGAAATTGAATGAAAAAAAGAAATAAATGGCCAAGATCAAAGGGAAATTGTGGTAATAATACAAATAAACCGGCAAAAAAAACACACACACTTTAAAATCGTTACTTGGGTAAATATTTAGTCAAAATAATACTTTTATAATATTACCAGAAAACATAATTAGTTCTATTAAAGCTTCTGACATTAGCATTTTGAAGCAAATTGATTAGATTTGAGCATTAAAAGTATTATTTTGACCTTGTCTTATGATTAATAAAAAAATCAAAGAATAAATGTTAATGGATAGGAAAAGTCAGTGGGGGTTGGAGTGAGGAGAATGCAGAGTACATCAGCCATAGCATTGCCGCCAGTGACATACATTTGACCAATCAGAGTGTTAGTAGAGCAAAATGGGACAGCAGGGTTAATTTAAATGGAAATTAACATCTATCAATCAGTGCATCTCTTAGCACATACAGAAGTTCATATTTCTAAACAAACACTTGACAACCATTATGACCAGTAATGTTGTCTTAAGCATGTGACAAGATTCCAATTAATATTGTGTGTAACTGGAAAAATAAATACACAGTATATTGATTACAAAAATATATACTGGTACCTTCACTATGAAAACCAGCCATTGAAAAATAGACTGTAAAATGTCTCAAATGCATACATCTTAATCTTAAATATTTGTGTAATTAACAACACCACCCAATTCTAAAGGCGTTTAAACACTCTAACACGAACACAAAACGACAGAGTCCAACTTACATTTTTTATCACTTCTTTCACTCTGCAAAAAAGTTAAAATAAAGTCTAGTTAGATGCAACCTTTTCATCATATTATTATTTTTTGTTGTAGTACAGTATCAATTAAACTTTATTTACCTCGTCATCTGCATCTTGGTCGGAATCAGACTCCTAAAGTGAACAGACAATGCAGTTACTGTAACTACAAATAACTTACTATTTGTATTTAAATTCCAACTGTGATGTATTCAAACCAACCTTTGAGTATGTTGGGAGAGTGATGTTAAGGTTGCAGATAGCAGTGTGGTTAAGAGTACGATATGTGCGCGGTTCCTTGGTGAAGGACAAGCGACCACATGGCTCCTGTGCTGTGTCTCTGATCTGTCCATTGATTAAACAAGAATTTAGTCAATAATTATATACAAGCATACATTACATACATTTTCATATACATACTGTATATATGTATTTCTGAATATCTGTGTACATCAGTAGACATTTCAAACATGTTAATCCAGTGTGTAGTCATACTTTGATAAAGAGGGCCAGTCTGTTTTCTTTGAAAGCATAGAAGCTGAACACATGGTGTTGTCCACTCTTGGTAAGAGGCACCAGGTTTCCAAAGCAGTCAGCAAATATGGGTTTTCCCTCTAGCACCTGTGTTTGGATATGAGAACTGTGTCATTGATTAAAATAAACCATTTAGATTAGAATATACCTCTGACATGCAGATTTATTGGGTTATTTCAGCTTTACATCTCTCATTTTTCATCACATCTCACTAAGATTAACAATTTTGCAAACTTTTCCCTTTTTTGCTGTTTTCTACATCATCATACTGCACCTCAACATCTCGGCTACGGGCAACTTCAGTGAAGTTCTCTTGCTGCTCCAGGGTCTTGTCCATCTTGTCGTCTGTCATGCAGAAACAGCGCAGGCGGGCCTCGATAGGGTCCAGTGTCTTAGCAAAAATGACAAACTTTGCCATGTATGGAACACAGATGATCTCTCTGTACAGCTGTGAGCCAAAGCTAACAGACTCCTGGATCTGTCTGCAGTCTATTAGCCAGAACCTAGGAATATGAGGTTGACATTTAATCAATTCACTTACAAAAAACAAAAAGGGCACATCAGATCAAAGTTTTTCCTACAGTGACAAACCTGTGGAGTACATTATTTTTCTGAGAAAATCAACAATAAAAACTCAATGTCCTTCCAAGACTTGAAATACACATACAACTTGCCTGGCTCTTCCTAGAGCAACAAGGGACTACCTACTCTAATTTTCTTTTTCTGTATTTACATTTGAATAATTTGTATCTGTATGTTTATATCATCTCGTGAAGATGACTAGAACATTTAATATAAAGTTGGTTACAAAAAACCTCAGATCAAAAGGACACTTGGTTTCCAAATGTAAAAACTTAGGAAGAATTTACCTCGCTGACACATTTGTGGTGAAGGACACACATTGGTTAACAAAGGTGAGAGGCGTGGAGCCAGTGATGTCTTCCCATTGAGCAGGAGTGGTCCCACCTGAAACACAAACACATATTTATTGGCTAACATGTCAACGCTGTTAAGAAATTTGATTTACAGAAGGTTTGTAGAAAAGACAAAATTATGAAAAAATGTCTTGGTCCAAGCACACATTCAGGATCTTGTGTGCCATTGCATTAGAAGACATTACATCACAGAGGGGACATTTTGAGTATATATTTTGACGACCCCACGTGGTAGCTCAAAATGTGCAGTGATGTGTTATTGTTTGCTGATGGATTATTCAGTGATTATTCCCCACACATACCTGTAATGCTGCAAAGCAAACGTAAAGTAGGGACCTCCCCACTGTATACTCCGCTTTGGCCATCACTATTGGAGCTCTTGGGAATAGGGATTGTCATTGTGATTGGTTTGTGGAACTTTCTCCTTCGTGGCTCCAATGTGACAATTGAGCTGAATGTGGCTTTGTTACCAAGAATCTTTCGCACCACTTCAACATCAATGGGTTGAGCCTAGGAGAAGGTACAACATTTATAAAAGTAAATATATTGGATTCCTTAGATTTAAATATCTGTCTCTGGTCAATAAATGCACTTTACGTACCTGTAGTCCAACTCTGATCTTTTTGGTGAGGGCTCCTTCAGGGAAGACCGCCTGGACTTGTGGCACAAGAGTGCTACTGATGACCCCGCCCTCTGGTCCAATCAAATGACTGTCCTGCTTTATCCGTGACACCACCGCAAAATACTGTGGGAAGTCGCGGGTGATGATGCGGCAGATTCTTCTCTTCTCAAGCTCCTCAGGGGAATCAAGTTCTGTGAAGATTATAAATATTAAGTATACATAACCTATGAACAGTCAATTAAAGTATGTGAGGTATGGGGAATAACATCTCAAGTGTACGTTTATTTCAGTTTATTTTTCATTTACTACTTCCTCTACTTTTTGTTTTCCATTATTATCCCAGCAATTTAATCAAAATGGCGACTCTGTCCTACTTCACTACGCTCCTGTGGTCTGTGTTATGGCTTAATGTGATCATGGTGTGGCCTAAAATTCTGTGTTTTGAGGATTTAATGTATTGCTTGTATATCAACCCCTATTAACAACCCTTGGTTTACATTACAGTCTAGTTCAGATCCCTTACTTTCATCCATGCCATTAAGTATTTGGTTCAGTTCCTCTTCAGTGAAGTCACAGTGATGTTCCCTCCAACTCTCCCCTGTCTCACTCCTTAGGATCACTAGCTCTCTCTCTGTTCCCCGCAGAGCTGCGAAATGGGGGATCTCCACGATCACAGGCCTAAAGGGTGAAGGGAAAGTCAAACACAATGGGACTTTAATATACCTTTGTGGCAACAGTTTATCAAAGCTGGCTTTTTCAGAGATAATATTATGTTAAGGTCGATTTATGCAACAAAAGTAACAAAGACAGAAAAATAAAATAAGATATAAAGTTGGGCTTAAAAACATCAGGTGCATTTCATGCCTGGTAAAACAAACATTATCAGAAATAAAAAGTCATTAAAAAAACATGTCAACACAACGAGAAGGAAAAGGAGAATAATCCAGCTAGAAACAAGCCTGGAGATTGGTTCCATACACCGAAGAAGGATTTGTAATAACGCAACAGCAAACACAAAAAAATGGGATTTAAAATGATCATATCATGGAAAACTCAAAAAGGTGGACACGGTGAAAAAAGATGGGTAAGTATGTGACCATTTCCAGGATGGTAGGGTGTCCCCCAACCATTATCCTACCCGAGGAACTTGGTTCCTGGAGGACCCAGCTGCAGGATGCGACTGACCAAGCTCTCACCCTCATTTAGAGGGGGCGGAGCTGTGGGAAGGTGGAGCTTACTGATCCATAGGCAGCACAGAGGGGGAATGAAGAAGAAAATATGAACACACCGCACAAGAGTGTAAACACACTCACACAAGCGAATAGACTCAAACAAACTCTAACACACAACAAGTTAACACTCACATTCAAACAAACATACATTAAAACACACACTTACCCCAAGAACTGGGCTCCAGTGGGCCCCACTTCAATGATTCGACCAGCCAGCCCCTCACCCTCCACCATTGGGGGCATAGAGGCCAGACGGTGTCTCTTCACCAGCCTGCATGTCACTCGCGTGGGAGCAGAACACTTTCTTGGTGGCACAATGATTCGAAGGCCATTGTGACGGCAACCACGCATGGCCCCACCCCTGGCATCGACCATGAAGCTGACAAGGAAGCTATAGAAAAGGGTCCAGTTAGAAATATATTTTTTAAGATTGGTTGTTTATCAATGCAATACTTCTGGCACAGATCCTCATCTGTTGACTACCAGTCTCCATGCAGTCAAAGCAACTGACATTCCACTAAGAAGAAACCATTTTCAATGCACCATTCAGTACTTACATTTCAACAAGCACACTGTAGCAGTTCATATTTCATTTTGCTTGTTCTCTTTGCAGTTTTATTCCATTCTAAAAGGAATTTGCAAGCCAGGCGAAAAAAGAGGGCATTGAATAAGATTCTTTTTGGATCTTATTTGTCAAGGTGCAAATAATAGACATCTTCAGGCAAGCAAGAGTTTACAGTATTACTCAAGTTTTCGGTATTGAACATGTCAACACACATGAAAGTTTATAGTCAAACTGCAAGACCGGTATATTTCTTCTGTTTGAGTAGCATTGAGTAGGAAGAAATGGGCTTGGAGTTTTGGGCCACAGGCAGGGTAGGGCGTCGGAATACATTACTGACTTAAAACCTTTCATTGGATTTGTTGACAATAAGAATACAGTAATATCAGCCTTATTATTTATATTACTAATATGTATTCATATCAAATGATATTCAGCTGTCATAAACACCCCACTTTGCAATATCATTCTCAACATAAAACTCTGCTATATTAGGAAGACAAATACATAGCATATTAGGAAAATTGATTTTTGCAGATGATCAATGATTATAGAACTCCAATCTGCATCAAGGCTAATACACTTGGTTGGAACATCACCTAGATTACCTAATTGCCTTGTGGGATTAAAACAATATTTTTGATTGATTGATTGAAAAATAAAAGCTGAATCCTGCAAATGCAAAGTCATGCATTGTAAAATCATGCACACACAAATAGGATGGGAATTAGACTATCCTTAAAAGGAGAATGAAAAAAAGGAGGGCCAGGGAGGAGTAGCCAAATTAAAGAATAAAAAGTATCACCTGCTGTTGTCATGGTCTAGGCACGGAGAAGAACGGCTATAGGCAGAATACAACAACAAACATACAATCACAAACACCGCCAAGACAAGAAAGTGCACAAAGAGGGAACAAAAAAATACACAAAAAGAGAAAAAGAGAATAAAGAATAGGAAACGTGTGGAAAATCCTGACAAGAGACGGACAGAGCAGCAAAGACAAAATAATCAAAATAGAGTAGAAAACACAGATGTGAAGGACTGCAAATAATGTAAGGAACAATTAAATGGATTCAGAGGTGATTCATACACTCCTGATAGTGAACGAAAGCATGTATGTGAAATAAATGAACATATTTGGTTTCACTGGTACACCAGGAAAGAGTTTGAATGTTGGTGTGTGTGTGTCCATACCCAGAGTGTAGCAGACTGGAGGACAGCACCACATTATCAAGGTGCTCAGCACCCCAGCTCAGACGGAACGAGTCCTTATCCTGCTCTCTGGACAGGGCTGACACCTGCAGACAGACAAGTAGGCCATTTGGAGTCACTTAAAACAAAGTATTTAAAAAAACTAAGGATACCTTCAGGAATGCTATCTTAGAAATATGAACCAACACAATGTCATCATACGCTTTATGTATGCTTGTCCTTACCTGGTGGCTTGTCAGCATGTCTTCGATGAGAACTCCCTCTCTCTGATGGAAACTCTGGTGAATGGGAGTAAGCTGCGGCCTGTTGGAAAAGCAGGTTGGATTTTTTGATTATTCTTTTTTCTCTGTTTATATATTTACATGCACATCATGGCAGGCTGGTCAAAAGCAGTGGATGACAGCAGGAGTGATGTGTCATCCCCTGCATCTATTACGTTTTGAGTAGCGGTTTTAGGTGTGAGTGTGTCAGCTAAAAGCAATGCAATGTATGTGTTGTTAGGTACCTGTCCAGGTTGTGGCTCATGTAGCTGAAGCTGTCCAGGTAGTGTCCGGGCAGAGAGTCATCACCCAGCTCTCTGAGATCCTCCGGTCTCAGATACTCTCCTCCATCACCTGTCATAGTGTCCTCACCTGGTAAAATATTTGCAATTTGAATTAAAGATTACATTTGATAATCACTTGGACACAAGCACTTTGAAATAGTAATCCATGCCTTCATTACATCTCGGCTGGATTACTGTAATGCACTGTATTTTGGAGTCAGCCAGTCCTCCCTCGCACGTCTCCAGTTAGTCCAAAATGCTGCCGCACGCCTTCTAACTGGAACACGTAAGAGGGAGCACATTACTCCCATTTTAGCCTCCCTCCACTGGCTGCCTGTGCATTTTAGAGTCCATTTTAAGATTCTTTTATTTGTTTTTAAATCCAGCCAGTGGAGGGAGGCTAAAATGGGAGTAATGTGCTCCCTCTTACGTGNTAGTACTTAAGCAATAGCTCACGACAGGCCGTGGTATCTGCTCATTATATCACAGCTAAGGGGCGTGGTTCGGCCCGACGCGAAGCGGAGGGTCGACAACCCCCTTAGCTGTGATATAATGAGCATATATCACGGCCTGAAGTGAGCTATTGCTTTTATAAAACGGTTACCAAGTGTGGCAATATGAAAGAAAAATACACACTCTAATTTAAATAGTTTTTATTAGTAAATAATGATGTTCAAAATAAAATAGTCCCTCCGTTGCCTTCCTCACAAAACATAGTGCAAGGTGGTTGCTCTGCAACAACACTAATAGCTAGCGAACATATTAGACAGAGAGCGTTGATCCATTATTTGGCTGTTTATTTACATTAATGTGTATGTTGCTGTTTATTGTGCATCCACTGAAAAACTGTCCAGCATCAGTAGCATGGCTTACGTGGTCACTTGTATAGGTTGAGGTTGTTCGAGGCTGTTGCTTGGCGTGGCGAGAATATTGCTCCACTTTCTCCGGTCCCCGAGATTGGGCTTCCAGTAGCTCTGGAGAGAGCTTTCGCACCTGTGGCCACTAACGGTCATAATTTCTCTGCTTTGTTTCAAGACCCGCATCAGAACGCTTTTGAATGGTGGTACTTTTCCAGTTGGTCTACCTGCTCTTCACGTAGCTCTGCATGTCGTAGTTTAGGTGCTTTTTTTTCTGGAGATAGGCACTGCTCAATCCACTCATCCATACTATAGTAAGACCCCCCCGGAGGTCGAAGTTAATCTTAAATGTTTCCATTTTATGCTTTGTAAGTTTGTTTCGTAACGGAAGAAATTTAAATATATTTATAAAACTGACAAGTCAAATCAAGCAATCTGATTGGTCGATAGCGTTTTTGCGGACCTCTTTGATTACAGATTTGAAAACATCGTTGCTTGCTTTAAAAGTAGCACAATTCATTATGTTAAACATTCAAAAGTATCTAGATATCCCTGCCCTAATGCCAAAGGAACTGCAAACTGAATATGTTTTGCCGTTTGATGTCTATGTCTGGACCGCTGCGTCAAAAAGGAGGGCTTCTGCCCCGTTACTTCTCCGCTGCTTTCTTGTTCCAGTATGAAATCAGCCCAAGGGTATACTGTTTTTCTCAGACGCGGAGGGATACTGATTTGTTGTGAAAAGTAACTTACAATTCTACCCGTGGTATACGCTCAGTATATCACGGCTAAGAACCAATCAGATTGCTTGATTTGACTTGTCCGTTTTATAAATATAAATGACCCTTTGTTGCAATACAAAGCTTCTCCACAAACAAGTAAAACAAAGCAGATCAATTTGGATACAACATGTTTTTTTCTCTGTATTACATCTCATATCTCTCAATTTGTTCTTTAGCTTGGATATACCCCTCTGATAGTTGCTTGTCACTATGGAAATGCCAAGATGGTGAACTTCCTGTTACAGCAAGGGGCCAGTGTCAACGCCAAAACCAAGGTACAATATCAAACTTGAAACAAATTAGGAAAAAATAAGCACAAAGCAAAAGTCTTCTTATTTAGTATTTACAGTGCTTCTTCTTTTTATAGAATGGATATACACCCCTTCACCAGGCAGCACAACAAGGGAATACACACATTATCAACATGTTGCTACAACATGGCGCCAAGCCCAATGCTACCACAGCGGTAAGAAAAAAAAGATTTAATCTCTTTCCATCAATAAGATAACATTTGTCTAAATAAAAAAAAGGTAATCACTTATCTATTTCAGATTAACACTATCTGTTTCTTTCTGTTAGAATGGAAACACTGCTCTGACGATTGCCAGACGTCTGGGCTACATCTCTGTAGTGGACACACTTAAAGTCGTCACTGAGGAGGTCATCACTACCACAACGGTAAGATCGAACTCTCTTTTTGCGACTACAGCTCTGGAGCCAGTACATTTTTCATAAATATTAAGGAAAACTCAGCTAACCTTCTTCTGTTTTTTTTTGCCTTGTTGTTCCGACTGTGAATTGGGATCGTTCAGACGGTCACAGAGAAACACAAGCTCAATGTTCCTGAGACCATGACAGAAATCCTTGATGTGTCTGATGAAGAAGGTGAGTTACTTAAACAGAGAAAGAATACAAATTAAAAAGTTCAAGCTCTCTTTCCCTTTGTTCAGTAGTTATAACGAGCTTTACATTGTATCTGAGATGTCTGTGTATCTGGAAGCTATTACTAAATGTTTGCCCTGCTCCTCCAGCTTGGTGTGGACTTTATCTGTTTTTTTTTATTTTTGTATCTAATTTGTGTTATCCTATTGGTAGACATACATTTACTATTTAATTAAATTAATATATTTTGCGGAATTTGTTTCCAAATCCATTTTCCTCCTGTACATGGTATATACACTTTATGGGTTATGAGTTATGTCGCAGTTTATTTAACTGATTTTACATGAGAAGAACTTTCTTGATCCAACACCTTTTTGTTTACTAGGTGTATTCATAACTTTGTAGATTGGGTTTAAGGTTTTGATGCAATGGTGAAAACTAACTGCATGAAATGTGAGGGGCTGGATACGATCACAACAGTGATGCTGGCTATGTAGAATTGACCAATGCACTGGTTTAGTAATGATATACAATAATATTATCACAAAGCTGTCAAGTCTTCAAAACCAGTGACAAAAGCAATTTGCCAGCACTGCTCAGGTGCAAATAGTGTTGGTGTATTTGGTGTTCTAAAAAGGGATACATGTAAATATAAGCAAGGATAAATGATCTCATTTAAAAAAAATGAACCTAGTATGTTGCAACGTGATTATCAACTCAACTCAACTCAACTTTATTTATAAAGCCCTTTTCAAAACAGCCGGAGCTGAAACAAAGTGCTGTACACGCCATAAAAAACAAAAACAAAACAACAATAACAATAAATAACAATATAAAAACAACAAAACCAATGAAGCATATAAAAACAAACAGAAACAGAGTCTCATGCTGGGTTAAAAGCCAAGGAATAAAAATGGGTTTTTAGGCGAGTTTTAAAAATGGACAGTGAAGGGGCTTGTCTAATGGT